AATGTTAAGGGAGAAAATAAAAAGAACAAAGAAAATAAAACAGAAAATATTGATATAACATATAAATATGAAAATGTAACAAAGTATCACAAATACAACTTAAAGATGATATATAAAAGCAAATATAAAAATAAAAAATTATTTAAAACTCTTGACTCTTCGCCATGTCACCTCGATTTATGACATCAGAAATGAGAAAATTCATGCCCAAAATTCTCGCAAAGTGCATCAAAATAAAAAGTATATATCCAAAAAATGACATTTGCAATCGATTAAGCACACCTCTAAAATACTCCAAACACTTTCTTTTTGCCCTAAAAATTAATAAATAACCGTAAAATTGACATGACAAAATAATGAGGAAATATAAGTTAAATAGCAAACATATCACGTTAATTTTACGATTATATATTGATTGGAGTGAAAAGAGTGTTCAGGGTATTTTAGAGATGTGCTTAATTTACTGCAAATGTCATTTTTAAATATATTTTTTTATTTCAAAGTTTGCAGGAATTTTAAACATAAATTTTCTCATTTTTTGCATTAAACAAGAGTTCCACTAAGAGCTTTAAGAATATATATAAGTAAATTTTTAAAATTCGATTAAAATTCGACAAAGTCGATACATGTACGAAATATTCATTAGCCAAAATACAAAGTCAATTGATACAACTGAATTTTCCACAATACATTCTATGACGCTCTACATAGAGTAGAATATTTATTGTTTTTTGTTTAATTGGAAAACAGATGTTTCTTAATTCACTGACCATTTATTATTATAAAAATAGATACACTTTTTGTGCATTGTATATGTAGTAGTTCTTTGCTTCATCCTGTTTTATTGTATCGTTTTATTTATTAACTTACGTATATCTTGTGTGCCTACTATTTGTTTTGTAATCTATTTTGTAAATCTAATAAAAACATAGATCTTGTATGTACGCGTAAAAATCCTAAAAGGACAATCGCGTATAATACGCTATCTGGACGTGTCAAATTGTTCTACGTGCGAAAATCAGTGCACGAGTTCAAAACCATCTACTGATAGCTCCTTTGTAAAGTGACTTAATACATGTTCGTGGAACTCCGCAAACGAAACGGACTTTCCGTACATATTTCCACATAACGGACATATATTGCTGTCCATGTCCGAATTATCGGAGTGGTTAGTGCACTTTTCCATCGAAATGCTGGGTGTCATAAGACTAGTCTGAGTAGCTCCATGTTCCTTGAAGCTGTCATCAGAATCGGATTGCGTACCCGTTTGGCACATTTTTTTATTAGCATTCTTTCGACAATTATTACATGTTGCCCCTGAGAAACATATATTCGTCTTTATGTCTTTTGACGATCTTATAAAAAGAACTTTATTGTCGAAATTACCAATGATTAAAGCTCCTGGCCCCTCACATTGTCTATCTCTTTTTAATGACGTTAGAAGCGAGAAAATGCATGCTTAAAAATTTTTGCGAAAACGTTAAAATAAAAATATATATCCATAAAGTAACACTTGCAATCGATTAAACAAATTTATAAAATATTTGCACTTCACTTTTGCTCTAACAATCAATAATTTGTCGTAAATTAACGTGTCATACAATTCATCTTCTTAACCTATTTCTTCGCCTATTTCTATTCAGATTAATTTATAATAAAGTATTGATTGTTAGAGCAAAAGGAAAGTGTACGGAATGTCTTATAAATTTGTTTAATCGATTGCAAGTATTACTTTATGGATATATATTTTTATTTCAATGTATTTTGCAAGAATTTTTAGCATGCATTTTCTCACTTTTGACATCATTAAAAAGAGGTAAACAATGCGAGGGGCCAAAAGCCTTAAGGAATATATACATATTGTGCAGAAATATGTAAAAATTAATAATGGAATAAAATGTTGGTCAATTATTAGTTATTTAATTATTACATTAATTTAATTAATATTAATTTGTTAATTTTGAAAATTTAGATTATAAAAAGCTGATTATTAATGTTTCTGTCTTTTTTTATCAATGCATAATTTGACACAAAAAAGCGAAGGTAACCAGATTATGATCAAAATTGATTGATAACAGTGAGTTGGATTTTGATACTGTAATGATGTAAAACAATCTCTGGATTTACCTTGTTTCAATTTCTTGAGATTCTGCAGAGCTCTTTTCAATCTAGTTTGCTGTCCCAGTAATGCATCCTTAGTCTGAGATAGCCGAATTTCGTGCTGCTTCAATTGCTCTAACGAATCCATGTCGGAATCCTCTGGATACGTGAAGCCGACATTTTGTAAATTCAATTCAGAACCATTCTGCAATTCCACCATCTGCAAATGATGAAATTTCGAATGACTGATATTAATCCGAAATACGGTAAATACCATTTCCTTACCTCTGCATATTGTTGCTCGAGGGCAGATTTTTCTAACATAATACTATTAATCAGTCGAAGGGATATCTCCTCTAAACTCTGATCCTTATCACCTGAGCAAAAGACGCACGGTGTTAATGGTGACCAGGTTTTCTTTTTTATTTCTACTCTCAATTTCGTACAAACCATTATCTGTAGTTAATAAATGTTTCTTGTTAGCATCTTGTTTATCTGAATCAGCGATATCACAAAAGCTATACGACAGGATATCTGACGGCTGTGTAGCAGGATGCTGCTTAAGTGTGTCTGAGATTTTTGTCAATTGGCTACCTAAAGATTTGTTAGTTTTCGTCAGTCTCGTTAATCTGTTCCATAACTGACGATTCTCCGCAGCAACCATGAAAACATGATGAGTGAGCTGCGACTTCTGCTTTGTAAGCTCTTCTATCTTTTCCTGCAATTCAAAAGTACATTGCTTACATTCTCTTGCAGAAACTGTTGTCTCCAGATTTGTAATACACCCTAACTCTTCTATCTTTCAAACAAGAGCTAAAATATCAACAAATTATTGTATGTCAGTATATCTAAATGTACTGCATAAACTCATAGATTCAACATTTTCCAATGATGTTAACTACTGAAAAATCAAAGTGTCAAAATCTGTTACTTAACCTGTTCCTACTCCATCAAAATAAACAATGTGAATAACAAATAATAGGAGAACATAATTCTTATCTAAATGCCTAGTATTATTTGTGGAAAACATAATATTTGTTCTTTCTAGATAAACTTCTGCACTTTCTTCCTTCAGAGTGAAACAAGTATATAATCGAGCATTGAAGAAAAAAGGAACAATGTTTCAGTGCAGAAATATTTCTTTTCTTTTGATATGAATCATGAAAAGCTCCAAACGCTTTCAAGTCAGAAAATTGTCACTTTTCACGAGTTTATACTAAAGAAAGGTTCACGATTGACTCCCAGACCTAGTGTCTCACATACTTGCAGCGTCTCTAGCACGCCTCTGTCAGCGTTGTTATCGTCGGCTTTCACAACAGCCGTGGACATATCCCTGCCGCATTCCAGCCTGAGACATACATTCTCTTCCTCCACTGCGGCCAGTCGCGTCTGCAGTTGCTGACAGCGTTCCTTCATGGTCTTATATGCGACTAGCAACGCGTAATATGATCCAAACGAGCCTGAGTTCTCCGGGTTCTCGATGTCATTCATCGTGCGCCCGCACCAGCTGATTTCGACGCGAAATACGCGCTGTGTTGCGCAAAACACTTCGTTTCACGAAGTAAAAACGGAAATATCACGCGTGTCTTACGCTGCGATCTGCAAATTTCCGCGAGATTCGTCGGGTGCATTCGCTCGTCCGTGAAGAGGTTAGGTAACCCTACATTTTTGTCTATAGACCGTGAACGCGTTCTGCGGCTAGGCTGGCAAGAATCTCCTTTCGTGGTTTTCTCACGACTTTCGGTTACTTGTGCTCGAAGCGTTTGTGCTTCGCAACATTCATGAAAGTTACTGCGTCAAAACTTCTTTCATGAAGAATAAAAAACGCAACATTGGTAATCCCCTTTTCGTTGTAATTTTTGTAGACGCAAAACACGGACTACATTCCAATATTCACTGTCAGAACTGAAAATCTATAGTTTGTGTCACGTATATTATAGATTTTCAGTGTACAGTGAATACCGGAACGTAGCTGCGGTAAACAGCGATGGAGTAACCAATCAATCTGTCGTTCCTACGGAAAAAGACAACTAAAGACTGGTTTATGATGGTCGTAATCCGTTAACTTATGTTGGAACTATAAAAAATTGACCAATCACAGTCGATTATTCTTCTATAATTCGACTATGATTGGTCAATTTTTTATGGTTCCGGCATAAGTTAACGAATTCAATACGTATATACATAGGCCGGTATTCATAGTCCAATCTTATATTTAAGATCATCTTAAGTACTGTCTTAAGATGTCACGAACCAATCACAGAGCCGTATTCGCATCTTAAGACATTACTTAAGACGGTCTTGAAATAAGATTCGACTATGAATACCGCCCTACGTTTAGTTCTTTTGTTGAAAATAAGCAAAGCAAATAACGTCCAATACCATTTATTTTTTGTTACATTTTTTTATGCAGTGACATTTTTGGTTTTACAACAGTAATTTAATGGCCACGTTGTGCGTGTAAGTACTCACACAAGTGACATGTCACACACACAGGACCGCCGCTATTTTCTCGCATGCAACTGGAAACCTTACGCGACACACGTTCGAAGCTTTTGTTAACAATTTAGTTTAGGTTGCATTCCAAAACGTTCTTTTTGAGGAAAATTTTACTCAATATCTATAGTTTACGTCACATATACTATAGAATATCGAGTAAAATTTCCTCAAAAAGGACGTTTTGGAACGCAACCTTAGTATGGCTGCGTTCCGAAATTTACTGCCAGTGCTGAAATTCTATAGTATACGTGACATAAACTATAGATTTTCAGTACTGGCAATGAATTTCGGAACGCAGCCTATATAACGGGAAGCACACACTCTTGCATAAAGGCATAATGCATAACGCATAAGAAAATTGACCAATCAGAGTTCTTCATTTTCATCGTGATAATAGAAATGAGGATTCTGATTGGTTAATTATCTTATGCGTTGTGTATTATGCCTTTATGCAAGAATATCCCTGCGTTCCTTTTGAACGCTCACGCGCTGTAAGCGTCATTCTATCTTTATCGCTCATTAGATGCGGAAGAAAGATAGAGTAAGGGCTATCGCACACAAATTGACATAACTGCATATGCATAGCATAAGACCGTATGTACCAATGAGCATCGAGTATTAAGTCGCCATATTGGTGTTCGATGCTTAATATTCGATGCTCATTGGTCCATACGATCTTATGTTATGCATATGCAGTTATGTCAATTTGTGTGCGATAGCCCTAACGCTTATAAGCGCTTAAAGCGCGTAAGGAACCTAAAAGGAACGTAGCCTACGTGCTTCCCGCTTGTAGACATCTGTGGTGCAAAGTGAACTACACAAAACCAGTTTATTGGTCACATATTATCTAAAATATCTTATAAGATAATATGCAACTAATAAACTAGTTGTGTAACACAGTACACGCAACTGGAAAGCACCCAATAATAAGTCGGGCGACTTTTTATTTTCTTACGTAGATCAGAGAGAGATAAACGTAGGAACGACGCAATTTACCGGTGCGTTAGTTTATGGTAGTTAAATAATTAGCTAACAATTAGATAAAACAATCGCTTCAAACATGCCGAAACGCGCTTGTCCTTACGACGAGGATTTGTTGCCACAGATAAAAGTGCACGTGGGACAGAAACAAGTAGACAACGGTGTCTCTAGTGCTGAGAGGATGAAAGATGTTTACGGTGAGATTATGCTAGGTTTTGTGATTTACAATGTTCACTTTATAATTGTTGATATCCAATTTGAATATCAATATTCTACTCACTGTGTGTATATGATCCAATATATTCATTAACTAATACATACACTACATATATCCATATATATGTATATGTATATATATCATACACACACACACACACGCACATATATATATATAGAACACTATAAAATATATTTATTATTATGTTCGTTAATAACAACAAACTCAGCTGCAAAGTTCTAATTTTATTCTGTTTGAATTTTCTAGATAAAACTTTAAGTCTGCTTAAAGCAGGTGCAAAAGAAATGTCAAACAAATTGAACAAATCTGTACAAATAGATTCTGTAGACCTATCTACAGACTTACCTTTGCCTCAGCCACCATCGTCTTGTAAATTAAAATCTGAATCTAGATCAAAACAGATGCTATTGACCAACAAATTGCAACTGATGGCTAGTGACAGTATCATTAGTGTAAGTTTTCTGTGACTGCGAAAAGAGACGACTTTTCCTGCATAAACTACAACTTTATTTATTTCCAGAATGCACAAGTGGATCTGTGTGGATGTTGCAGAGTAATAGACCACTCTACAATAAGCAGATGTTATTACTGTGATCAGATATTATGTAATTCTTGCCTATCTGCATGTGCCAGATGCTCAGAATTATTCTGCCAAAATTGTTCCCTGTCCATGTAAGTTACAAACTATTAAGTATCCTTTATCCTGCAGTTTTGAGTATATATGTTTTGCAACTGTAAATATATTTTTTATTTCAGATATAATCATGAAGAACAAAATATGTGCCTCAGTTGTTATGGATAGTTATCAAAGGAAAAGTAATTTTGTAAATCTCCTTTAACTGAAACTCTTATGATTTTATTTTGTGTTGTGATTTTGTATTGTATGTGCTTAAATTATTTAAATTGTTAATAACATTTTAGTCATATAAAAAGAATTCTATTAGCGATTAATATTTTTTTGCTTAAATAGTATTAAGATGTAAGACACTCTGTGTTAAGGATATTATAATTTAATTAGATATTTTATATATTTTTATATGCCTGTAATGAGAAACTAAGAAGAATTTTATTTAAATAATTAAAATTAGCAAATATATGTAACTTTATTTTTAAAAGTGATGCACAAGTCTAATTCTGGAAAAAATTGATAACTTGGTTGCTGTGTGTGTACTTTACGAGTCAATATCAGGAAAAAAGGAAAAAATATATTTTCATCACTACAGGCGTTGTGTGAAGAAATGAAACTATATTCTTATCACTTTCAAAATTAGCAACTTTTGTATTAACAAAATGAATGCTTTTGATAGATTATGTAATTGTGTTTTTTATAATTGTGTTTTTAATATTATCAATCAAATGTTACTCTATTTTTGTGTAAAAAGCATGTTACATGCATATTTTAAAAAACAAGTTAATATAATGTTATAATATCTATAAAATTTGAAAATAAAATAAAATTATTTTATTTTCAAATAAAAAAAATAAAAGAAATTATTTTTTTACATATAATCATCGTTTTTTGCTATTTTTAACCAAAAACAAAATAAGAAATATTAACATCACAAGTATTTAAAATATATCTATAAAATATTTTGTATGTGGTATTATTATTTTCCATATTACTTAAAATGATTTTATTAATTTATATTAACATATAATATTAATTTTATATGTATACAAGTGTGATAATTTTTAATAGCAAAGATTAACATTGAAATTAGCGCGCCAATATTGCTGGATCGAATCGGGAGTTCGTACCGATTTCTATTGGTAATATTGGCGCGCTATTACGGAAGTACTAATAATATTCAAATAATCTCTTTCACATCATGTCGCTTCGATCAATCGCGTCCAATGGTAATCTCTTCCGATTGTTTCCGGTATTCATCGAACAACAAAAAAGATATTACGTTGGAAGACGTTTCAGAAGCTTCTCAATTTTCGGATTACGATATTTCGTGTATTTCACGACGTAAAATATACTAAATATTTTAGACATTTCGAAAGTGTTTTAATTAAGTACAGTAGAAATCACATATAACACAAAAGGACCATGTCGACTGTGTAAGTGCTAGATTTTATCAACTCACTTTTATCGCACGAATAAGTTAGTGAAAAATTGATATTCTTGTATTATATTTCAGAGTGGAAAACGCAGAAGAAGTAAATGTCATCTCTGAAAAGGAAACATCCTTGCATTGTGCAGAGCAACTTGCTTTTCCACAGATTGAACAAGGTAATGTCATGTGAAAAAAGAACAAAGAAATAAATCATTAGATAGAATTGTGCAAAAAAAGTATAAGTGATAATCCCTTCGAATATAGTTTTTCTTCTTAAAATAATAGAAATATTGGTCATTGAGGTTTAGTGTCCCCTATAACTTTTTATTTAAATTTATTTCTTTGATGAAATTTATTATGCATGGCAATCTGCATATTTCTAATGTTACTCAAAAGTGAGATGTTCTTTTTTCATTTATAGTGAATGAAGTCACAATGAGCAAAACCATAGTAAAATTAGGAACAAATGTACGTGACTTGACGACACAAAGCGATGAAAATAATGTTGATATTAATCTGGATCGCAAAGAGCTGGAAAATGAGCCTTTCAGAATTTATAAGGACAAGATTATAAAGCATGAAGAAATAAGTTCATCTATAAAAAATGATATAATGTATGAAAAACCTGTTATTACAACAGGAAAAATGACAAGTAAAGTAAACAGAAGAGTATCTGTTAGAAAGGCCAAGAAAACCAGTCAAGTAGCAGATAATAACAAGGAAAATATAAAAAAAGTAAACACTAACAAGGTAGTGAGACAAAAGGCTTCTACAAAAAAATCATGCAAGACCTCATTAAAACTGTGTGCGAATCAGATTCTCAAGGAAGACAAAGAATCATTGGAGAATCACACAAAAGTAGACTTATGCAAAATTAATACTGAAGGATGTTTGAACTACAACTTTATGCCATTCACACACGTGAAATCTCAAACCAAGATGTATGACACAAAGTTTTCATGTCCCAGTGTCGCAAGGCAGCAGGAATTAAATCAGTATAACTTGGAAAACAATACGAACATATTGCAGCATTTGGATTACAACAACCTGAAATATACAAATCAGCAGGCAATGTCAGCTACCAACTCTTGGATGACAGTACCAAAACCTAATGAGAGTTTTACGTTAAACAATACTATCAACACCACACAAACCGAAACAGGACAGAGCAGCTACATTAATGACAAACATCATACTCTTGCCACTGATTACAGCTGGAGACAGAATGAAAATCCATACTTCAATTCCATCATCAATTCTATGGATTCTTATAAGCTGCTTGCGGAAAATAAAATTTATCATCCGTATAATATCTACAATCCGAATTATATAATGAGCCATTGGAACAACTTGTATATGCAGAATTTGCCGAGAACCAATGCCACGTTTCAGCAAGCAATCAATAACGTCGCTCCGAACTACAGCATTCTACCGATCAACGCTTCCAATAACTTCCTGAATCCCGCTGTGACGTCGTTCAATCCTTTTTACTATTATCCACCGCTACTAACGGACGACAATTTAAAGAAATTGTATTACACGAATCTCAACAACAACGGACGTGATTTCACGGTTAAAAAGGAGAATATGATGCCTCTGCCCGACAATTGGCACCACTCGAATTCCTTGATCCCGAGTAATAACAGCTTGAATATACCAGCTACGACTTCTACATGGTATAATGCACCATCATCGAGTTTCCTTGATGCGAGCACCGCAACAACCTCTGACGTGGATAAAGAATTTAAGTGTGTGCAAAACACATATTTGACTAATCATTATAACACAGATATGACGAAGGCAAGTGTGTACAAGGATCAATGGCGAGAAAAGGACCAATTCGTTTCGTACGTGAAACCAGCTCTTCAGAATACATTACCTGCGATTACAACAATACTTACGCCAACTCCAATCGGCACGCATGCATTCGAGCCTTACAAAGCCGATAACGGGTTAGCGAGTAATTTAACTCATCACAGTAACACGGTAACTAGTACGGACGATATGATGTCTAATATTGCCGATTTTTCCTCTGAAACAACTGGAGTTGACGTACCTAAGGAGGTACCTTGCATATATACTAAGGACAAGAAACTTATATCAGAAGTTCTCGAGTCCATCTTATAAAAATATTTTTTTACGTTGTTTAATTTGATATTTTAACGTTGTTTTTGCAATATAATTTTTTTTAAGTATATATATATTAAGACTTTTTTATGAAGTTTTATATGTAAGCTTTTTTCTCTTGCAAACAGAAGAGAATTCGAAAAAATATATAATAATTTATTTTTATTTATTTTCTACTGAAAAATGCTTCATATATCAGCATGCGTACAATAATTCTTCAAAGTTGGATTAAAAGAAAGTTTTAGTTATAGAATATAATCACACAGTTCATACAGTTAGTATGAACATTAGTAAACATTGTAACACAATCATTATAATAACATGTTAATAACACGTTACTATACACGTTATAATATACTAGATTAATGCTGCAATTCTAAACAGAATCGTAAGTCTCGTAACTTGTTCTCGTAAAATTCGTCAGCACTTATGAGTAGATTTACAAGTCTATGTAATATCATATGTCGTACAATTATTCGTAAATATCTACGATTTCATGTAATTTACGATATTTACAAGTGATTGTACGATATATGATATTGCATAAACTTGTAAATCTACTCATTAGTTCTGACGAATTTTACGAGAACAAGTTACGAGACTTACGATTCTGCTTAGAATTGCAGCATAAGTATATATATTTGGAAGACTAATAAGTAAAAGTTCTAAATAAACATTCACATAAGTCAGAGTTTTTTCTTGCAATTTTTGCACGTTTCATGTAAGGTATAATTTCTGCAATTATTTTGTGTTAACATTCATAAAATAAAATAGGAACGTATATGAGAAATTCCATATAATAAATATACTACATAGTACGAAGAAGTTATAACTTAAGAAATTTATATTATATTTCGACACAAGAAATGTACATTCTTCTTTCGTCTAGTACTCAAATTAAGTACATTCGTATGTAATGCATTGAAAAGTACTAATAAAATCTGTATTTGTTAAAGAAACTATCAATGACAGTAAAAAAAAGAAAAAGTACTGTTACCCTGTTATATCAATAAGTTTATGATTAAGTTATTAATATCGCAATTAATATCGCGATTAAGTTATTAATACACGCAGTTCATTTAAAATTACACGGGTCGATTACAGTACGTTTGAATACGAAAATCACTTAGGAAGATGCACGAGGTGACGTGGTAAACTCGTGCGAGTTTATTGGCACTACTTCCGATAAAGCGTAGTTTTGGCAGAGGATACTCTTGTAAAAATATAATTAACACGACGAGATTATATACATGCACTCTCCTACAAATATGTCATAAAATAATATTATTTCAGTCAGTTAGACTATTTACAGTTTCTTCTGTTAACACTGTAATTAGAAACGTAATAATAGAAATAATTCTTTTTAACAATTTACTCGAAATAACAGAAGATAAATGCTCGTCGAATATATTTCCTTACAACGAATGAATTATACGGAAGTAATGTCCATCTGGTCCTTTACGTTTTTGCGATATCTCGAAAAATCAATAGCCAAATCAATCTCATCTACCTCCTCGCTGAGAAGATGTCCTTCTACATCGAGCTTTGATTTCCCAAATATTCTGTAAACAGATTTCACGAGATTTCACGCCAGAGAGTTTGATAACGGTCATCGTGTAAAATAACATGCCATTGTTGTTGAACGTGCAATATTTAGCTACAGATAATAATTAGAAGTGATTTAAGTTAAATTAATAATTGTTAGACCCAGGTCACACAGGTGTTACTATAAAGTCTTCACTCTCAGCGCTCATAATACAAAAATTCAAAACAGAGCAAATTATAATAATTATGTTATACGTTAAATATGGTATTATATACATCAAGTATATACAATCTACTGAACTCACAGCAACTCTTTATATGAAACATGTAATAGAAAGAAAATAATCGATGTTACTGATATTAGTGTTTTATAAATGCTCCTACATTCAATAGATTATTTATGTGTTATACTTTCTAATGAAAAAACAGCGTGATCTTAGAAAGTACGTGAGAGTAATGTACGACTAGAAAGTGACGACGAATGTATTAGTAAAGAAAGAAATATATATAAATATAGAAGAAAGAGGGATAGTTAAGATTAAGTAACGTGATATATTCTTAGAGAATATACAAACATTTATTTTATTTACATAATATGTGCAGAAAAAGGAAGAGAGTAGACAACCACGAGATCTATAATACAATGCAACAGTTTAAGAAATATTGTACAACAGTTTCTATTGTTGTTCTTTACATAATTTATTTATTACATATTATATTACAATGTACGATATTTACAGTAGAAGATATTTTCAATTCAATAATATATTTTAATCGTACAATGTTTTCTCAGTCTTATATTCTGTTTTAAATAACAAGCTAATTTCTATAGAATAACAAACAAACTTTAACATTGCAAGAAAAACAAGAAAAAGGAACACTGAATAAAAATTGATGATAACATGATCAATCAACATTAACGGTTGATACTTTCGAAATAATTTAATTATGTAGTTTTACACGCGGAAAATTTCTCACAGCCTGTTTGTTGTTAATCGTACTTTTTAAGGAACACATTATTTGGATAAATATTCAAAATGAACGGAATATATATGTTATATATATATGAATATATATAAAGAAAGGCCGATCGCCTCATCACGAAAATGTGTGCGATAGAAAATCGTAAGCAATTCAATGATAATTAGTAATATATTAAGTATCTTATACATAATTCTTTTTTCTGTTAGTTGCGCTCGATTCTCATCGGTTAGTCACGCTTGAGCCCTCAAGCAATATTTACAAGAAATATAGATCTTCCAGTGAGTGGTAAGAAAGAATGTTACATTACGTTAATATATTGATGTAGTAAGTATTGATCAACTGCATTAACACTGTCCGGTACGTTTACAATTAGCAGTCGAACTTCTTTCAATCAAACAATTCAAATCAAACAATACAAAGAAACATAAAGCTTATTCTTTTTAGTGCTACATTGGAATGTTGTTCCTTTTCTCTTCAATGGTAGATCATATACATATTTCACTCTAAAGAAAGTATAACTTAGTTTACCTAATAAAGACAGACCTATATTCTTTGACATGAATAATTAACATGTATAATCAAACTACTTTATCTATAAGTGGAAGATTGGAAGGAATCAATGGATAGCGCGAAATCATTTCGAAAATGCGGGCGATACCGTGGACAGCGTTAATACACTAGAAATGCACTCAAAATAATAATACTTGATAACAAACAAAAATGGCAAAAATTCTCAGTTTAAAAATAGACAGATTTATTCTACACGTCAGGCAACCGAGTTATTGCAGTCCTGCGAGTTTTCTGAAAGCATCACACCCGTGCATGCATACCTGGATAACGTGGAAGTCGACCTATGCATGACCGGCATAACCGAATCGTCTAATCCACGATGGAGAGATATCGTGTCCATGTCGATCATATGCGCTGTGGAGTGTGCGTGCATAGCTGCTAGATACTCTGAGGTCTCCAAAGTGGCTTTGGTCGGCTTACGATAACTACACAGAGCGAATCAATATGTATCTCAATCAAAATACTTTAATTAATTATTTTTAAGTACTTATTTTAATTAATGCTAATCTATTATGCTCTTAATGCTAATTAGTATTAATTAGTATTAATCTTCTATTAGTACTAATCCAATCAGTATTAGTTACTAGTACTAATTTAATCTAATTAGTGCTCCAATTAATTTTCAGCAAATTTCCAATTAACTTTCTTACATTGCAAAAGTCTGAAATATCACACTTCAATTAATAATAAAATAGACGAACAAATAATTAAACATCTAGTTTAGTTAATGCTGTAGTATCAACTTACAGTTTTAATAACAGAGAACTTCCTACCACTGACACTGAACTTAGAGCCATGGCGGCCGAGGACATCCACGGTTGTAGGAAGAAGCCGAAGGAACTGAATATCCCGGCAGCTATGGGAATGCCCAGGAGGTTATAGATACTGGCGAATAAGAAATTCAATCTTATCCTGCGGACCGTTTTCCGCGATAAGTCTAAACACGCGATCACGTCCAGCAGATCATTCTGCAAGAAGATACGATATTAGTAACGAACTATGAGATACGTCGTTTGTGTTTATTACAAGATGTTTTTATGCAAACATACGCGCATCAGAACCACGTCGGCAGCCTCCACGGCGACGTCGGTGCCTGACGAGATAGCGATACCGACGTCAGACTGTGCGAGAGCGGGACTGTCGTTGACACCGTCTCCCACCATAGCGACTCTCAGACCCTGATCCTGCAATCTTTGAATTTTCGCCACTTTGTGCGACGGTAACACCTCCGCAAAGACTCTGCTGATGCCGACCTGTGCATCCCCAGGAAATGGAGCCGATTAACAAACGATAATTCTATCGCACGATACTACAGATAATTGTGAAATTTCGTTCGTACCTGTCTAGCGATCGAAGCTGCAGTTTTCCTGTTATCGCCCGTCAGGAGTATCACTTCCAATCCCATCTTCTTCAAGATGTAAACTGCGAGGTGCGCCTCGGGCTTCACGGTGTCGGCGACACTGATCATTGCCACCAGGACATTATTCACTGCGGCCAAAACGGCGGTATGGCCCAGATCCTCTTCGCTAGCCATTCTCACCTCAACCTCCTGTGGAATGTTGATCGCGTTCCTGCGCATCCATTCCCTGTTACCGATGCAGACTTCGTAAACGTCGTTGGCAGTATCTCGATCGCCTTGGGAATCCGGATTTAACAATAATTGCAGATCTAAGTTTTGCCTCTCCTGCGACGACGTCGCGATTGGCACGTTGTCGATGGGCACATCATTGAGATTGTATGTGCCGGCCGATATCGTATTCGTCTGATTCACGTAGTTGATGAGTTTTTCGGACTTCAGCGCGTCAGACAGAGCGGCGTTCAGATGAGACACCTTGCACTTGAGACCGCAGCCAGCGACCGCCTGGAAATTCGTGCACTGCCCGGTAGTTTCCGACCCGATCGTGTCCTTCACGTAGCGCACGATTGCTTCAAAAAGATTAAAAATTAAAGTAAATTAAATAATTAACTAATCGATATTTGAGGCTTTTATAATGTGGAGAAATACTGAACTCGACTTTCGTATTTCCTGTAGATTTGTTTCCAACGTTTTGTGAACATTTTATTTCACTTCATCAGAGAGAAAAGCAACAATTTAATATCTGATGAACGAACTAAAATGTTCGCAAAACGTCGGAAATGAGTAGGAAACACGGATCCAACTCGGAAATTTAATCCAGCATCATTAATGAATCATTATCGCGATCTCGATTAGATTTAAGCGCTACAGAAAAATGAGGGACAATTTACCCGACGCGATCGGATGTTCGCTGTTGATCTCTGCTGTGCCAACAACGAGCAACAGTTTCGCCAAGGAACAGATCTTCTCGTTTACGAACATCCCGATTCTGGTAACGGTGGGCACACCATGTGTTAATGTACCCGTCTTGTCAAAGACGATGCATTTCACCTTGTGTGCATTCTCCAATGGCGTCGCGCCTTTGATAAGGATGCCGTTGAGTGCGCCTACTCCGGTGCCGACCATTACCGCGGTTGGCGTTGCCAAGCCGAGCGCACAAGGACAAGCGATCGCGAGCACCGCTAAGGCACTACGAAAGGCGTACTGGAAAATAATCTCTTCACGGTTTATGCCATGCTTATCGATCTGATCATCGTGCGAGATGGGCAATTTCTCAAAGTTCACATAGCCGACAGTGATCCAGATCAGCAGCGTCACCACGGAGACAAGTATGACCAGAGGTATGAAGTAGCCGGCTATTTTATCGGCTAGCTGTTGGATAGGCGCCTTGTTTGTCTGCGCTTCCTCCACTAGGCGTACGATCTGCGCCAGCGTTGTGTGTTCACCCGTGTGTGTCGCGGTGATCAGCAACGGGCCGTTCTGGTTGATCGAGCCGCCGATCACCATTGAGTCCTTCTTCTTCGGTACCGGCATGCTCTCACCTGTGATCAGACTCTCATCGCAGGTCGACTGGCCAGACAAAACGCGCCCGTCGACCGGTACCTTAGCACCTTGTACCACTTTCAGCACGTCGCCACGTTGCACTAAGTCTATGCTGATTAAACGCTCAGAGAGTATTTCGTTATTAGTCCCCAAAGAGATCAATACTGCGTCAGTGGCCTTCAAAGACAACAGTTTCGAGAGGGCTTCAGATGTCTTGCCCTGAAACGAAAAATATACGTTTGTAATATTCTCGATAATCTTATCGTGTGATTTCTCGCGGAAGTAAAATTTAATTTGATATTTAAAGCTTCCTTGGTATTGAGAACTGTATTATGAACATTAAGATTAAATTAATACCTTCGCCACATGTTCAAGCCATCTTCCCAGACTAATGAACACCAGGAGCATTGGCGGAGTATCGAAAAACGTTTGCGGACTGACATTCTCTTGCATTACCATAGCGGCAATGAGGACGGCAATGGAGTAAAGGTACGAAATTGTAGTAGTCATTGAGATTAGAACGTCCATGTTAGTCGTACCATGCTTCAGAGCCTTGTAGGCTTGCACATAGAAGTGCCAGCCGCCAAAGAACTGCAAACAAAAATAATTGTTGTATCTTAAATCTATATCTCTCACACCGATTTTATACGAAAGAATGAGCAAGACTCTATTCTCATGCACATACCTGCACCGGTGTGGAAAACATGAATAGTATTAGATTCTCCCAATTGAGACCAGGTACTATGCAACACATCTCTTCGTGCGTCTTGTGACCGATGGACATTACCACCATGAAATACGTCATCGCTATCATACAGGGGACTCCAAAAATTAAAGATACCAAGAAAGCCGTCCGCCATTTGCTTATTTCTTCCCTACGAAGAATACGAGAAACGAGCTGTTAAAAAAATGTTCGGCAGCCAATTGGATAAGGTTTATGAGAGCAAAATATGTACTCACTTTTGGTCCAGATAATCCCTATTTTCCTTGTCTCGATTGCTTAACAGACTGGCTGTGAAACCTAATTTATTAATACTTTCTACTATGTCTCTTACACCAGTCTTCTCCGTGTCGTACTTGAATATTCCTCGTTGCGTCGCCAAAGCGACTACCGCCGTTCGTATACCAGATAATTTTCTCACAGTCGATTCTATTTTATTGACACAAGACGCACACGTCATCCCCAGGATCTGAAATTAACTTTATCAAGAACGTACGACGAAGCAACTATATATTTCTGACTCTACAATTTGAAATAAATACTTGATGCTTTTTCATACTTTGAAAATCGTATGCTACTATGGGCAAACGTAATCTCTTTTCAAAGGAAAACAAAGCTCTAATTTTAATTAAAATTATATCTGATATCTGAAATTGATCTGAAGTAAATCCTCGGTTGCTTTACCTTCAATTCGACTTCTCCTTCTCCGGTTCCGGGCTCCTCTATCAAAGTCGTGGGGAAACCTAATTCCGATATACTGGAAGCTATATCCACCGCCCTTATTTTGTCGGGATCGTACATGACTTCCGCCTTGGCAGACATCAGCGCTACTAATATGCTGTTTACTCCGTACAATTTTTTGCAATGTTTTTCTATCGCGGCGACACAAGAAGCGCAAGTCATACCCTGTAAAACGGTCTTGTTACACGACGGATTCATGACATTCATCTTCAAGAGCAAGTGGAACGTAACGTACCGAAATATGTAGGAAGCACTTTGATAATTGTCCCTTCACATCACCGGCACCATTCGTTAGCGGCGATAGCTCCATCTTCTTTTGGTTGTTGTTAACAAGCACAATCGAAGGTACTTTTAGAATTTTGTTGTTGACCTCTTTCACATGTGCGGTGAAACCCATATCTTCTATGTATGTTGCAATTTGATCAGCCGTTACGTTGCCGGTGCTGTAAGAAACTTTGGCTTCTTTATTCTCCAGGCTAACATCTACGTCTTTTATACCTGGTTTTTCGGATAAAGCACCTGTGGAAAAAGATATACGGCTTATAGAAGGACTGCAAATTTGCTAGATAGGGAGGTATCTAGGTGAAGATTCAAGAACAATAAGGAATAATCTAAGACAATCTAAGGGAGGTAAGAAAGAATTTAAAAAGATCTAAGAAAGATAAGAAACAAGTGCACAATTACGGTGGTAATCAAAACGTGAAGTATTTCACACTCATTTTAATCATACAATCAGTTCTCACGTACCGGTGATACTCTTCACACACGACAAGCAAGTCATCCCGTCAACGTGTATGCTGCAGGTGCTGACGGCAGGCGTTACGGAGATGTCTTTGGTTTCGTTCTTCGCGACGTCGGATTCTGGCAAACTTGCGGTGAATCCCATATCCTCGATAGCCTCCGCCAGCTCCTGCGGCGTGGTCTCGCGCGTCTTGTACTCGATGTAACCAGCCTTCTCTGCTAAGACCACCCTGATGCTGACAACGTCAGATCGATCGCCGATCATCCCCTCGATGTTCCTCACGCAACTCTGGCACGTCATACCTTCGATGTCGATCTTGACCGTGCTGATCTCCGCGGCCTGTCCCACTTGGGCTTCCGCGGATACGCGCACCGGTTGCTCGATACCTTCATAATCGGTGTCATTGTCGCCGTCCCTACAAAAATATTCATGGAAAATTCAGACATTACGTAGTAAGTTCTACATACAGAATTGACTGCATCTTCGACGAAGCTATCAATTCCTGCCCTCAACTATATGTTCCCGCTTCAACGAGGAAACGCAAAGAAACAGGTGCAATCTATCGAGTCACAAGAGTCTGTTGTAGAATTGTTTTTCTCTTTATATCCCCTATTACTGATGTTACTATTGTTACTTTTATTATGTGAATTTACCATGCAATTATCAATTCGTCAGACAATAGAATTCATTGCGGAAAACATCTTGTTTGCTATCGCACGGAGCTAACAATGAGGCATGCACATTCAGACCTTGTCACTTCCTTGAAGCGGTATGTTTGATTGATTGAAAAGTTCGGCTCAACCTTGTAATCAAGTTCAATATCGTTCGATGGGGACGAATGCACGATTGAAAATCGAACTGAACTTTGGCTTACCCGATATTTCGCACGGTTTAATTCTAATGTTTGAGAGGTGCGACAAAATAATTGAGAAGTCATGTCGCTGTGAAGCAAATCGTCATGATTATGGCGCTTCGATCTTTTCGGTATCATTTCTTATTCTAAGGAACTTTAATCATGTTTATATTCACGTTTAGAAAAACTAGTTAAATATTGCTAACGCACGAAATAAACTTTTACTTACTGTGAGTCAAGAACTATCGCCACCCAGACTATCTTCGAAGCAAGAGGCAAAGAAGCAAACTTAAAATTTTCGCAGTTATTCCATTTTGAAAGAAAAGACTTCTTATGGTGATTGTTTTCTGGGAGAAATAACTTCGAAGATCTTAAAGCTTGATCTACAATGTGTTCTTTGCATCCTGCTTCTTTGTCTTTATCTCTTTCTGACTCAAACTTTAAGTTTAAAGCCTGATCTACAATATGCTCTTTGCTTCCTGTTTCTTTCTCTTTATCTCTTTCTGACTCAAACTTTAAGCTCTAAGTCAGAAAAAGATAGAAGACAAGAAACAGAACGCAAAGAGCATATTTTAGATCAGGTTTTAGGGAATGCTGCAGCTGAAAATTTTACAGAACATTGACATTTTTCTGCAAAGTCGTATTGGTTACACAGAATTTTTACGTCGTATTGGTTACACAGAATTACAAATGCTTTTATACAATGAAAATATGTGTAAAAATAAATAGGAGTACGTGCAAAAATAAATAATAAATTTTACATTAAAATTTTTTTGTTCGTTTTCGTCGTATATCGAGCAATGCTCCTATTTATTTTTGCACATACTTTCATTGCGTAAAAGCACTTGTAATTCTGTGTAATCAATACGACGTAAACTTTGCAGAAAAATGTCAGTGTTCTAAAAGTTTTCAGCTTCAGCATCCCTTTAAAATCTTCTTTTACTGCTTCGAAGATATTCAAGGTGGTAACAGTTATGTCACTCTGTATAACTCAACGAGATCGAAATAGTTAAAGTAAGTAATACTCGAAAAAGCTTCAGATATCGAAGTAACACTCGAAGTTCAAGTAGTCCCTTTCCCATCAACGTGCAATACGTGAAGATAAGATGCGCCGTGGAACTTGGTTATTCCGCGAATAAACAGTCTCGTGAAATCTTAACGTTCACCGTGAGCCGATCCGTCGTGGCATGATGCACCGGGGCCGTACGCCAATCGGTTATCGCTGATTTTGTACAAAAATACGCGCCTCTTTATCTCCCGCACGCCGATAACGACCACGACGACAGTATGTCGACCGCGGAAGAGGATTCGCGTGCGTGCTTCAACGAGAAACGTTCTGTGCTACAGACCGCGAACGAACTGAAACTCTTCTGTACGGTACGAAATGAATTAATTATCACTTTGAATCGTGTATCTCTATCATTTTAGATCTCCGCACGCGCGATAAACATCCACGAGGAATTGCCCTCCTGAATTTCGCTCGATTACGCAAGATTTCACGCGGAAAGTGTTATTAAGGACGAAGATCGTAAAATAGATTGTTACTTTATCACAGATACTATATCGTGGAGTTAATGAAGTATACGATGATTATCTTTACGAGCGGATACATATTGAGATATACAACGAGATAAGAAGTAGATCTTTGCAGGAAATTCAATGCCGATATTTTTACAGTTAGGCATAACTTTATTTTTTAACTTCTTCTCAATGACCCTCTGCTATAAAAAAACAATCGATATGTTATTAAATAAAGTTATGCTTAATTATAAATTATATAATAATAAATAATAATAATTAAAATATTACTACACACTGACTTTAATTTTATACTGATGAAATTTTATCAGTATAAAATTCAAGTCAATATAGTTATACTTTACAAGTAATTATAAAAGTATTATGTCTAATTATGAAAGCAAGAATTTATCTATCCAATGTATCGATAAAGCCAGCATGTGTCAAGAAAGCCAACTCTTTTCTTGTCTCATAAATTATTTCTCCTCGTCTTTTATGTGCTTATAACAACGACGTATTACACGACGATAAAAAATTATCTCGAAATTTTAAAAAATACGCTGTGTGTCTGTAAAGAAATTGTTTTCGGGAATAGCTCTACCGTGGCGACGAAAGAACGGCTGATGTTGTGGGATTACTTGAATTTGTCAATTATCGCAGGCTTACCACAGGATATCGTCGGCGTTGTGAGTGTCGTTAAGGAGAGGTTGCTCGTCCTCGTCTTTTGTCATTGTTTTCGACTCGTTCTTCAATACTGTCGAAACGTCGTGAAATGTCGAAACGTTCGTGAAACGTCGAAGCGCCCTTATCGTTCGATTTCGAGCAGGTTAGATAAGCCACGGCAAAACTACTGATTAAGGCAAAGTTCAAACACGGTTTCTAAAACCAACACAATTATTCTTCAGGCACCGATCAACGACGATGCGCAATGATCGTGTAAAACCGCGTAAAAATCGCGATTAGTTTTCCGAAGCGTTATCGTGTAAGAGAAAACAGATCCCCGAAACTCCCGGGAAAATCACCTGTTCCACGAAAGCCGCTTCGCAAAAGGTGCTTTAGTGTTTTTCTTCGTGCGTTATTTCCGCGAATGATAAGCTCCCGGCAAATTTGCTCAGCACAGTGAGCGGATTATCATACATTAGCGCAGGTAATATATTCGCATGGCGTTTTACGAACGATGCGAAACAGTCCGCGGTGCCAGGACGGGAAATTCTAGTCCATTGTCGGCCTCCTCCACGTCCGCCGATAAGAATCGTGACGATATCGCGAGAATCGCGCGTTGCGTCCAATTTCAAGCAACAATCGTCGAATCCGCTGTGTGAGATCGCAGCAGCTCGCCACGCCGATCCGGTGGCCCGCGAACTCGGCAAATCGGGCGGAATTAGTGCGAGGCCACGGCAATGATGGTTTCTCTCTCTCTCTCTCTCTCTCTATCCTTTTCTCTTCTCCGGGGAAAAACGCGAATTTTCGTTGCGCCGTGCGTGCGACGAATTTCGCGGCCGACGAAACGTCGATTTCTTTTTGTAACAACGTAGACCGGCCTCGAGTGGGGCGCAGAGTCGAAAAATAGACGCGATATTCACACTGAATTGATATCACGGAGCGACTGATAACCGGGATAATCGTTGATCGACAAGTCGCCCCGCGCGCAACTCGCTTTTGCTCACGGCACTTCTTCCGCCGGCTGAGAGAAGATCGGATAAGAGCCGTGAGTGTCGGCAGACGAGTGTCGTGCCGGACATACTCGCGGCAATGCTCTCTCGTCGCCCTTCGAGAAGCTGTAGGGAGAACCGCTCGATGATGAGCGGAATACTTGGAATTCCACGGGCCGGTCGGCTGCTTGATCCGATCGGAGTCGGATCTTAATTGTTCCACCGGTAGCATGCGGGTGACGATGAAATCTTCGCTTCCTAACCTTCGCATGGCCTGGGGGATTGATTTTTGCCGATTGACGTCAATCCTCCAATATTGATTCATATGCTGCTCGCGTGCGCGTATACGTGCTGATGCATATAATGACGATTAAAGTACTTTCCTCGCGATTGAAGTGAGATGGACGCACCGTGCGCATCGTTATTCAAATCAAATTATCTCCTCCATTTTGTGCCGGATCATCTTCTCTCCGTGAGAGATTCATGCTCGATGAAAAATCGAAATCTATTTCCATCTGCTGAGATACTTTCCGTCCATTTTTGCGCGGAAGAGATAATTATTGATTTAGTTTTGCACCCACTACATGCAAACAAAGTCTGATCAATCAATCAATTTGAATTTAATTCGAGAATCATCAATTTAAAACTGAAAATTTCGACGTTTATACTATGCGTATTTATCGAATAAATAATTTCTTATCATCGTGTCGTGTACTTATAAAAAATTAAGAAAAAATTTAAAAAAAATTCTAAACGGGAAAAGAATTTATTTAAGCATTGCAGTTGTCATTGTGGGAGAGACATTTATTTAATTAATATTCTTTATTGAATAATAACAATGTTTTTTGCGTGATAGGCGCTCCAAAACGATACGTAGAACGAGTAAGTTTAAAAGACATAAGGACAAGTGTTGTGTGCAAGCGACGTCGCGTGTTCATCACGCATCGTACTTACGCAACGCTCACAAGCTTTTCTAAATGCGTGAGTAAGAAAATCTTTTAATTACCAGATGCTAGACATTCATAGCGAAATTTCAGATTAAACACAACGAAGGCGATAAATTGAACATTATCGACACTAAGCCGGTGACGATTGTCGGCCACGAAGTGTGATGCATCATAAACAAAATGTCACTCGTCAAGCAAATACATCTCAATTCGCACCGTGCAATACTAGTCACACGCATCGAGAATAAAGTGTTTGCAACTATAATCGCGTAACGAGGATTGTTGTAAGAAAAAACTTTTTTTTTTAAATAAATACTCACTATAGAGTCGGCGATAACAATCTTATACATGCATATTGTTGCATTAAGAATATTTAAAAATTTGTTTGTGAGATATAAAGCTTATTTTGAAGAAATATACATTATTTCACAAAAACAAACTTTATTTCCATTAAAATTCACAAAAATAAACTTAATATTCCACAAATAAACTTTCAAATATTTTTTCTCAGCGTGCTATTATGTTTTTTTTATTAAAATCACAAGGAGAAATAGTTCACGCCACTATAATTTTAGTGAGATTAACCATTTTTTCCCTTCAGTGTGTCAAATAGATCTATTGAGAAATTCTGTGCAAGCACGTGTAATTTAAAAATTACAATTAATAAAGTTTAAAATTTAATCAAATCTTCTATCGTTTCGCGATATTTCGCGATCATAAATATCTCCAATTAAAGTGTCCATTTCGTTTAAATTTTTACTAAATTTTTTAACGTATGTGTTGCGTGAAAAATAAAGAATATATTATTAAGAATTGGATTTTTTTAATAAAAATGTTCAGTTTTATTAAATTTTTGATACTCACGTACACATACGTGAAACGTATACATGTGCCGACACAGGTCGTGGAATTGTCGATCTAAACTTGGACTGAGCGTGAAAGTTGCTACGATTTCAGTAAAAGATTTCACGCTTTCCGCTCGCGGAACTTTCGTTCGGCGAGCTCGCGTGTATCGCCCGTACGTATGTGCGTGTGTTGCGTGCATTCGCGCACTGTAGGATGCACAGAAGGAACTAACGATGTCGATGACGTCGAGATAATTATGTTGTCTCGATACGTGCTCAACATTCTTTGTAATTCGCGCGAGAAAATTCTCATGCGTCACTGCAATACTATTATACGTAAATATGAGTGCGATGAATAGAGATTAAATCTTGCACGAGATATAGGATATAACTTTATGCGCGAGTTCGGCAAAGTGGCCCACGCGGTTGATTTCGTATTTAAAGCCGCAAACTTTCACTGATTCATCCGTGAAAAATCCAGAGAGATTGTTTGAATTCGTACAAGCTCTTATTTTGAACTCTCTCTTCAATCAGAAGACTATAAGACAAACATATAGGCACTTTTATCGATGAATGAGGGAATAAGGACTTTAGTCACAAAATCCACTCGCAAACCGCTCTTGTAAAAAACCCTCGATTGTTTAATATATCTTTGAAGAGAGAATTTCTATTTAAATTTGACAAATATACATATATAATATTGATATCGACAAAGACGAGAAAATCAATGCCTATTTCTTCCACCGTTGTCATTCATATCGAAATTACAGAGTAAATAACTATAGCAATTTGGCGACGAAATAAGAAATTCTACTCCATATAGACGATAACAAATCGCGTCGCAAAGGTGATACTGACCCGAGTAACCTTGCGTTTTCCCAATGTATCGAGTTAATTGCTTCATTCGCTGCCGAAATGTCAGTTAGATCGCGATACCTCAGCCTCACGCGATGGACCAAAGGACCTCTGAACCTCCGCATCGCCGCGTTACGTTGAACACCACGCACCACGATATCACGGGATAACTTTTCGCGCTCGTCCAATCAGTTCACCGCGAATTCATGGGCGTATCGCTTTTAACCGTCTCTTCCCCTCAGCTACTAGAAGCTTCCATATGTAATATTTCGTCAATCCGATCACAGTAATTTTGTAGGTGTCGTTACCACAAGAGCGAAGCAGCCGACAGGAATCACGTGCGACCGCGAGGCAGTGATAATCCGCAAAAATAATCGTAGCCGCTCTTCCGCGGGCCCCAAACGGAAACTGAACTCTGAAGATGAAGCGAGACACTTCCGATTTCTCCAATCCGTCGTTATCACAACAACAATAACAAGAATAACAACGTAGCACTTGAAATTTCTTTTCGAATCTGCGCACAACGCAGTTTCTATAAAAAAAAAAAAAAAAAAAAAGGCACGCAAATGTGACGAGTTTATTGTCGCAGATATAAATGGAACACGATAACAATCTTTATCACGTGTTCAAATAAAAGTACGATTCGTCGCGAGCGAATCTTCGGGATAAGTGACGTCGACGTATTGCAACGAGATATATTACGCGAGAACGGCACATGCTCAACGGACGTGAGCCGTAACGAGAATGTATATCCTTCTCAACCAGGTGGGTCCAACTTTACCTGGCCCACCGTTGGGACAATTATATCTCGATCAGTAGAAAGAGAGAGAGAAAGGCGTGCTCCAGATTGTACTGGAGGACTTTCTTGGTAAGACTGAAGGATACTTCTCGTGCCGTTCGTAACGTACGTGTCGCAGTTTAGCGAGTCGAAAGAGTAAGAAAGAGAGAGAGAGAGAGAGAGAAAGGGAGGGAGGGAGAAGGCAGCATAAAAAGAAAAAAGAAGAAACACCGCACATTTAGCTCGATAACTGTAACTTGAAATGCCGGTATAAAATTTTTATTCGGTTTTTAGAGGAATTAGAGAATGTCTATCTATCGGGTGTCCGCGAGGTATCGAGTGCTGCCAGGCGAAAATTTCATATTTCAGAACTCGATTCGCGAGTAAAATCTATCCGCGATGTTGATAAAGTTGGCAGTTAAAGTTATCAGTTCGTGCAACAGCGGGAAACAGCGAAGATAAAAAGAATTACAGCTGTTTGCATTTTAATTATCTTGTTTTTTCAAATCGCTCGGAGATTCTAAAACAACTAATATGAAACTAAAACAACTGTGATAAAAGCTTCAATTAAATTCACTTTCGAGAAAAAGGATTGCGTCCTTGTAATTGTGTGTTTGATAACGCAAATTTGATCTTGTCAGATATTTGCAGAGATAAAAAACGTAAAATGAGCCGGTTTCGGGAAAATGTTAAGTAGATTCTTCAGTGACACCTGCGAGAATTTGATCTACAAATTGCTCGGTTACTTAGGAATAAATCTTTCTCTATTTAAAATTTAATCAAATCTTCTATCGTTTTGTGATATTTCGCGATCATAAATATCTCCAATTAAAATGTCGAATTAGACAAAAATTCGCTTCAATTATCTCCCTTTTCCAATGGTAAATGGATAAACCCTTTTTCTACGACGGAAATTTTACAAATACCGTCAAAATATCGACGAAGAGTCATCGGATAGCGATTAATAATTTATTTCCTTATTTATCTACACGGAAAATGTGTAAGGAATTTCACATTTACCATTAATATAAAAACAGAGATATTTCAGAATTTAATGTTAGAAGATTTTAAAATATCTAATGTTTGCGCAGAGTAGGATTTACCTTATACATAGATAGATTTATTAATATTTTATCTTTTTGAACGCGATAAAATCAAATTTAACTTGAAAAATCGAGCCAAATTTTTTGCCAGATCCTACTATATCTACCATAGTTGACTTATAACAGTCAACTAATATGGCTCGATAACATCGCCACCACGATTGCGTTCGTATATACGACCTAGACTTAATAGCTATTAAAACGCGAAGAACTCAATGTAATTTATTGTCGCAGACGCTGTTTATCGCGAGACAACGAGAGTCACAATGCAACACGCTCATGTTTAATAAAGTGAGATAATGGTCAGTGTGATCAATTCAATTTCGTCGACTGTATCATCCGGAATTTACTTCTGGATAAAAATCGGTCTAGACATTGTCACGTTAATGCCAATCACTAGGATAGATCAATAAGCACGCCT